TTATGTATGATATATCAAAGTGCCTAAATGCATTTTACCATCATGTATAACTAATGAAAACAAATAAAAAAATTAAGAAAAATGAATTGCAGGTCAGATAGAGCACTAATTTCCAGGACTGGGGTTGTAGCTCAGTGGTTGAACGCTTTCCTAGCATGTGTGAGGCACTGGGTTCAATCCTCAGTACCACATAAAAGTAAATAAATATAATAAAGGTATTGTGCCCATCTACAACTTAACAAATAGTGAAAAGCAGGTGGGGACTGCTTTAGAAATATTCTGCATGACTGGAGTCACACAAGGTGTGACATTTGATGATGAAACATGAAGCTGGGATTGTGAACAAGATGCAAGCTGATCATAAAGGGCCTTGCCCACCGGGATTTTGATTCTGGACTTCTTTGCCTTGTAAGGGATAGTAGACCCCTGAAGGGTTTAAAGTAAGTCTGTGGCATCATTAGCTTTGTGTTTGTTTGTTTTTTAATTAATTAATTTATTTTAATTAGGTATATAGGACAGCAGAATGCATTTGGACTCATTGTGCACAATTGCAGCTCAACTTTTCATTTCTCTGGTTGTACGTGATGTAGCCTCGCACCACATGTGCAGTGGTTTGGGTTTTTAAATAGCTCACTGTGGTGATTCTCATCCTTCCTTCTTTTGTGTCCCCCTCATCTTCACATCTTGTGACTTGAAAACTACGTATGATTAAAGTGGTGACACCAAATACAGGAAATGTTTGTGGGCTCACATTGTGGGCTCACATTCACACACACAATCTTCCTGCTGCTGCAAGGCTGGCCCATCTTTATGGCACCTTCTCTGCCATGGTCTTGGCTCCTCCTTAGTCTTCTCATGGGTAAGTGCATCCCTCCCACAATCTTCTACCTGCCCTGCACAATGGTTTAGTCTAAGAATGAGCAGTTTTCATTGAAGGTGCTGCCTCTGTGGGAACCAGACTCTGTGTGTGTGTGTGTGTGTGTGTGTGTGTGTGTGTGTTGTGTGTATGTGCGCACGTGCATGCATGTGCACACATGTGCTTACGCCTCTGCAATGATCTTAGGTCATGCAGGCCCAGCCATGTCCTTGTGATCCTCACATTTCTTCTACTGATGTTGCACAAGAACCCTGGACATTTCCAGAGAGGCTGAGTGATGGGGGCACCAGACAGGGGATCAGCCACACCCACTTCCAGGACCTGCCTTTTCTGCTTCTTGCCCTTTCAAGTGTGTTTCCTGAGACATTCAGGTTTTTAAGGACCCATAGGGATGCTGCTTGGGGTTTGTGTTCTGTAGTAGGTGCTCTGTGTCTTGTTCCACCTTTTACTTCTCTTGCTAGTCCCTAAGAGTCACCTCTCATGATGGATAGGGACTTCTTTGTCCCCCAAATGACTTCAGTAGAGGATCTCAAGCCCAACGCCTTGTGGGCTCTTCCTGCCCCTCTGGATTCTCACTGCTTGCCCCTGATGAGGATCTGATCCCTGGCAGGAGATGGCTTGGCATGTGGGTTAAAAGAAGATAGTTCTTGAGAAATTTGTGGTGAGGGGCTGTGTTCTGGTCTATCTCCTGAGTTCCAAGCTTTCAGTTTTGTTCCCCCTCCAGGGTGAGTGGGGTGGGAGTGGGGTGGGCAGGGGGTGGGGCCAGAGTATACTGGCTATCAGAGTCACTTGCCTTCAAGATTGTCCCTACTCCGGCCTTTAACACGTTGATAAACCTCTTTAATGTGTTTAAAACTTGCAGATGTTAATAAAGACTTTCACTTATGTGTAAAACATTTTGATCTCTAATGCAACACTAGGATGTGAATAAGGCAGGTAGTAGTATTACACCAGGTTTTCAGATGATAGACAGGGCTGGGAGCCTCAGTGACCATGCACTGGCACAGGCAGGTGGTCAGTGAAACTGAAAGTCAGCACAGTGCAACTATTCAGCAGAATGCAACTATGGGAACAGGGCAGCAACAAGAGTCTCAGAGAACCACAGAGCCACCATTAAAGAGAGAACTGAAACCAGAAGCTGGATTCTTGTAACACCCCCCCCGCTTCAACTGCAGAGCATGCACATGGAGCTGTCTCCATTTCATGGTTTCTGGTCAGGCCCTTCCTTAGTGATCACTGTGTGTGTTTTAGAAAAGGGGTGTCAGTGTGACATGAGGGAGGAATTCAGTGTGGGAAATCCTGCTGTTGACAGTACAGGGTAGCATACAGAGCATCAATTTTAGGGTCAGAAGCACCTGGGTTTAGTTTGAACTCTACCCTCCCTAGCTGAGGAGTATGAGCGAGTTTCTTAAATTCTTTAAATTTCATGATCTCCATATGGAAATCGGGAAGAAGAATACCTACTTTACAAGTTTTTGAGGAGGATTAAATGAAATATGTGTACAGAGTGCTCAGCCAAGTGTCTGGCTGTTGGGATTTGTGTCCTGCCTCTGACTCCTCTGTTTCACTTTCCTTTCATCAGTGTCAGAAAACAGGATTCACGCCAAGGAGCCTGACACTCACTCCACCACACCTACCCATGAGGTGAACCCACCCAGCCTGACTTGTTTTATTAGTCAGGCATTAATCCCTTCCACCGTCTTCTCTCTTTGGGGAGCTACGGAATCTGGGGAAAGACACACTACACACATATTTGTGTGAGGCAGAAGGAAGTACATGTTTAAAACAAAATTAGCCAATAAAATCTCAGAAATAGGGGAAGGCATGGCTGGGCTGGAAGTATGGAGCTTGGACAAGGCTGCATCAAGGGAATAGAACCTGAACTGAGCCCAGGGAGTTATTGTACTTGAGGGTTTAAGGGTACACAAAGCTGCTTGTCCCTGGTAGGGTTCCCCCAGGCTCGATATCAGACCTAGGGCCCAGTTTGGAGAGAGGAAGGTCTACTGGTCAGTATCACCCTGCTGTGGGATGCTTCCCACTAGCTGGCTCCAGGCAGAGCTAGCCTCACGTCCTCCATGGAGGACGTGAGCATTGAGCTGTCCAGTGGGTTCTATGGTGAACACACCAAGATGCTGTGGTCCCCAGCATGGTGTGCATCCTCCCACTCATGGTGACCACAGAACTTCTTGGTTCTACTTTTCACAAGGAGGCTCCTCATCTGACTTAGGTGATAGTGATATGAGCAGTGCTTCCAAATCCAAGTTCAAATCAGGACCCAGATCCCTCCCTGAGCCGTGCTGCCTTTTCTCTCTAAATAACTGTGTGACAGCCCTTGTGTCAGTTTCAGATTTTCTGCCTTCTGGGATTGCATGTGTATGTGGCAAAAATACAGAGATGGTCCATGCTACTGAGAAATGGCAGCACAATTCACAACAACCGAGTTATGAAACCACCCTAGGCATCTCTCAACAGATAAATGGACACAGAAAATGTGGTATTTATACACAATGGAGTTTTACTGGGCCACAAAGAAGGAAATTATGTCATTTGAGGAAAAATGGATGAAACCGGACAGCATCTTGTTGAGTGAAACAAACCAGTCTCAGAAAGTCCAGGGTCAGGAGTTTTCTCTCCTATGTGGAAGTTAGAAAAGAATTTAAAAAGAGACCTCACAAAAATTGAAAGGAGACCATTAGAGTTGAGGAAGGGAATCAGGGGAAAAGAGAAGGGAAAGAAGAGGTACTGGGGAATGAAACTGGTCAAGTTATGTCATGTGCATGTACAAATACATCACAACAAAACCCACTATTGTATATGATCATAGTGCATGAATGAAAATTTTTAAAAATCCTTAAAAAGTGTTCTACAAGGATGATGACTAGATTTAATGGAGTGCAAATTTGGTGCACTCACTAATTTATTCCAATGATGTTACGTATCTTTAAGAATACTAAGAGTGCCAGGCACAGTGGTGCTTGCCTGTCATCCTAGTGATTGGGGAGACCGAGGCAGGAGGATCACAAGTTCTAGACCAGCCTTAGCAGTTTAGTGAGGCCTTAAGCAACTTAGTGAGTTTTGTCTTTTTGTCTCAAAGAAAAAAAAGTACTAAGAGTGTACTTGAGAGGCTGAGGAAGGAGGATCGTGCAAGTTTGAGGTCAGCCTATGCAACCTAGTAAGACCTTGTCAAAAAATTAAAAAATTTAAAAGAGCTGGTAGAGCACTTGCTCTGCTTGTGCAAGATCCTGTGTTCATTTCCCAGTCCTCAAAAGGGGGAGGGGGAAGAGGAAGAGAGGGAGGAGGAAGAGAAGGAATTCTAATAATTTACTCTAATAATTATTATAAGTACTAATATTAGATAATGTTTTCTTGCTTTATTTCATTTAACCTTTATGAAATCCTAGATGACATTTCTATTTTACAGGAGAAAAAACTGAGATTCAGAGGGCTACCTGCCTGAGATCACACAGCTAGTAGTGCAAAAGTTTGAACTTGAGCAGTCTGCCTGGTGCCTGAGGGCTTACACTCTTCTCTTAAGTTCATTGTAGGCTGGGATCTCAACCTCTGGCCCACTGAGCACCCTAAACTGGCTTGGCCAGTACTACACTAGTCCCCCTGCCCCAGAAAAATGCACTTCAGGAATCTTGATGGGCCTCACAGGAGCTGGTTTCCGTTTGAGAGGTGGCTGGACAGACAAACAATTCTGGGGATGCTGTACGACAGACAGTCTATGTTGTAGATGGGGCTGGGTCGGGTGAGTTCTGACCTAGCCTGTCAGCCAGTGACAGCAGGGATCATCAGGTACTTCCCCAGAATTGCCCTAGTTTCCCTTGCACTTGGCACCTGGGAGTCCTTGGATAGCTTTTGGGTAGCTATTTCATCATATGTTAATGAGTTTGATACTGAAGAAGAGCCTCCTACGTGAAGGGGTGGGTACTCGCTCCTGCTCTAGTTCTACCACTAACTAGCTATGGAGCCTTGGGCAGGCCACCTCAATATGCTTGAGGTCTCCATTTTCTCATCTATGACATGGGGATGGTCATCCCTTTCCTGACTCAGGCCCATTGTAACCTCCTGGCTCAGTCAGAATGCCCTGAAGTTTTTATTCTGTGTCCACAGGTCCAAGAATGTCCAGAGAGGACCCAGCACCTCTGGTGATAACTGGGACTCTAGGAGGGTCTGTCACTCTGCCCCTGCATGTGCTGCCAGAACAGCAGGTAGAGAGCATCTCCTGGATGTCCCGTTCAGTCCCTGGGGCAATTGCCACAGTCACCATAGTAGAAGGTGGAGGGCGAGACACCTTTTACCAGGCGGAGAGCCGGTACTGGGGCCGCATGAATGTGGTGGGTCCAGGCCACTCCCTGCAGATCGGCAATCTGAGCCAAGAGGATGCAGGGTACTACCGGGCCCACATTAACCTGAGGACTTCTCTTATCACTCATATCCAGGAGTACCAGCTGCAAGTCTTTGGTGAGTGTTCTGGGGCAGGTGGATGGGGGCCGTGTCAGTTTCACAGTCACTGTTAGTCATATTTAGTAACATTTACACTTTACTTTCCAATTAGAAGACTGACATATGCTTACTCTAAAAAAATATCTAAATTAAGGTTACCAGAGAGAATCTCCTAAAAAATGTCAAAGCCTGGGTCAGCACCTGGCTGATCTGGAAGATACCTTGAGTCACTTTGTGATTCAGACAGTTCATTACTTACACAGATAGTCAAAGGAAGAAACACCAAAAGGCCTCCCCAGTTCCTTGTTCCACTCACCAGAAAAGATACCACTGGAGCAGAAGGAGTCAGATGACTGTGATGCAAGCTGTGAGACACATGATGCTGGGGAGTCTGTTCTTGCAATGAGGAGGTTTTATGGTCCACTGCTCTCTTCTGCAGGGGAAGCCGCATACCTCATTAGAGCCCAAGGCTACAAGGAAGTGTCTCCTGATTGCCTTCCAGGGAAGAGAGGGGGAGAGAGGGAGAGAGAGGGAGAG